TTATGTTTGTAAATAATAATTTTGTTCCAAAAGAACCGTAGAAAACTTGCCTAACCTTATTATAACAAGTGCAATTTAATTTAATTTAGCCTAATCCAGCTAAATATATTTTAGATAAGTCTACAATAATTTAATAAACACAATCTCGTTCGTTAGGTTCAGAATGAATTTTACGAAATTATTGCATACAGATTTTCGTTGGCCTTATACGGCAAGAAGAGCGCTGCTATTTAAGCCAAAAATCGTAAGTTTTACCTATTCGGCACGACATGTATATCAGAATTAAGGACGGATCTGATCGCAGGAAATCAGCTTTAATTTGACTTGCATTTAATGAGGGTGGAGATTGGATCAGTAAATATAAATAGGCAAGAGGCGCCCTTCACCCAACAGTAATTAGGAAGTGCTGGAGTCAAGAGGTGTCCGCTTTAGTGAAGTGTCCGCTTTAGTGAAGTGTCCACTTTAATTGAGTGTTTTTCAGTAATTGGGATTAAGGAGATGTCAGTGGGTTGCTGGTCTCTTCAGCTCAGTCGCATCCTTTGTATTGATGCTTGCGTCTCTAATACGTTGATGTGCACATTGAAGACCTTTTGCAGGAGCTGGTATCAGTATTGAGTTTATTTTGTATGAACCATTCTGGATAATTAAACCGTTGAAATATGTATTGATGCTGCTGGTTTTTTTCGCAAGTGCTGTGGACTACAAAGTATAAATGAACGTGGTAATAATCCTGCCATGATAGCAAGAGGTATTGTTTGTAATATAGGACTTGGAAAAGTTTGAGAATGTCTTGGAAAAATTTAAGGGCGTTGTTCCTAGTTATTAATTTAAAGCAGAACGGCTGTTTCCTCTCTCAATCTGGCCAGAATATTGGCTGATAATGTGTAGATAACTGTCAGAGAGAGAGCAGGTTTATTCTCGAAGAATTAAACACACGTGCAACATCTGGGTATCTTGAATTTAAAGGCGTTTCGCCATCCACTGGCTTTATCAATACAAGGACATAATGTGAAGAGTGTAGATGTATAATGGTCTTAATCGGACCAAAATGTTGTCATAAATTTCATTCTGCTGTGTGAATGTTACTTATATAGGGACTTACAATGATGCAGTGTTTTCCACTGCAAGTTTATCCAGTAGAGGTAACTTGCCTTTTTTCTTCTATTCTGTTTATATTTAATGCTGATAACTAGATCATTTAAATTTTCAAAGAAATTAATTTTTTTCACCTTCCTCTGTTACAAACTGAACTGTTTGCTGTCATAATACCACTATAATTAACCTGTAATAATCAACCTGAATTCTTGATCACTGCTGATTCTGTCACCACTGAATGCCCTCGCCTCTCATAATGAATAACATTCTCAGTGGAAAAGCCAGGAAGAGCTATCAGAAATCATTGAGAAAGGAAATAGCGTACGACTCACTGAATTCCATCACACAGACTTGCCCTATGTTCCTACGTGGTAAGGCTCGTATATTAGCCAAAGAATTTGATTATCGAGCTTTGTCAATTATTAAAATTATAATTACGACAAAAAATAATAGTGAATCCGAATTACATAGGAATACAGTTAGAAGCCTAAGTAGGTCTATAACTACGATAATGTGACTGTGGAACGTTAACGGAGCTACTTGCAAAATGTGCAGATTAATGTTGCAGTAACGAGGCTTAAGCTTGGTCGCAAGTGCTTCTGGCAGCTCTGTATATACTCATACGACGATCATACTCAGAGAGTATGCGAGTATGTGATCACCGTTTGAACACAGTGCCTAATTGTTAACTTGTGGAGGAACAGACAGTACATGTCATGTGTCAAGGTTTATATGGAGTTTTTCTTAAGTCGCTTCAGGAGGTATCTTATTAGTGAAAATAAAATACTAACAATTTTGAACAAGTCACTTAAATTTGCTTATGAGAGATAAAAAGCAATTCTTAAGTATTATAAGTGAAAATTAGTCCAGCAGCCAAAGGGGTGAATGTGGAATTCTTACCAATTTAATTTTTAGGAGGAAAGTTGTTATCCTTCGGAATTCTTGTATAGGATCTCGTGTAACAATGGCAGCCACGGGGATCCTTTTATCAAGGATTCCATGAGTACCATCATGGCAGCCTCAGTGATCCTTGATAAAAGATCTCATGAGCACCATCATGGCAGCCTTAAGCTTTTCAGCAGAATTTTGCAGAAATTCAAGATGGCCGCGACGAAGAAATGGTTATATACTCCCATATTATGGCCACAATTTCTTACAAATGGGAAAATACGTCTCCCTCTCTGTCAAGCTCTGTATATTTTAATATCACGAAGCTTTTGCCTCTTTAACAAAGGTGGACCGGAAAGATTTAAGAAATCTTATGCGAATGAAGGTGTAAATGTTCTCATATCGCCAGCGAAGATATTACTAAGAAGAACCTTAAGACACCTGCTGTTCCTATTCACCCATCAGTAAAATGGACACCTGGGTGTTAGTCGACTGGTGTGGGTTGCATCCTGGGGACAAAACCTAATTTGCTCTAAATGCTTCGCATAACTAGGGGCTTTCTGCTAGGCCTGTATTCCTTGTACATGTACTTGTAGAAATAAATATTATTATTATTATTATTATTATTATTATTGTTATTATACTGTCAACACTTGAGTTGATATATATCTGGGATAATATGCAATGAACATGCTGAGTTAATTAAAAGTAATTTATCTACATCTCTGATCTGACAGCTTAATAGCTGTATCATCAGTACAAATTAGTCTTTAAGGGTTAATGTAATGTCTGTAATTACTTCTCAGTATATTGACATCAGTCACTGCTAGTAATGAAAGCAACTGCTCCCTCAAGTGTGCGGGCTGAACATTACCACAATAAACTAGCATGTAATCAATACTTCCCTTGAGACGAGGCGGTTTCACTGCTGGACCATCCTAAAATTTTCACTGCTGGAGCTTCCTAAAGTTGTTCCATCATGTTATTCTCATGCACTTCATAAATCTTCAAGGAGTGGTTATATTCTTGCCGAGTAGCCTCATCATACCATATACAAACTCGATGGTTACAAGACATGAAAATCAATTATCTAACTCGAAAACAAACGCCAGTATCTTAGCATTTAACAAAGCTCCGAACTTCATTATATATAACCATTATCCATAGTTAACTTTCAACAGTTTTTTATAAATGTAGTGTAAATATAGTAACTTCTCTTACGAGGCTTCTCTATATGAAAAGGCCTGCAGAGTATGTGCCATTTAATTCTGTATATACTTTTTCAATCACATTGTGGAAAAATATATATATATATATATATTTAGAATAATTAATTTTATTTGAGATCTTTCAATAGTTATGTCTGCATTAAAAGGAGTATGTTCTGTCAAGTATGGGCCAGTAGGCCTCCTGCAGTGTTCCTTCGCTATAATGTTCTTATGACCTAAATATTTTTGACAACCTCCCAGGATTAAAGGTATATATCCATTGGGCTAAAAGTGTACATCATGCAGGCTGAAGGTATTTATCTCGTAGTTTAAAGATAAATATATCTCGTAGTTCTCAGACCGAGCCGCGGGGGCGTTGACCCCCCGAAACCCTCTCCATCTCCAGGTATATACATATCGTAGGTTAATAAACCATACCCCGACCGGGATTGAACCCGCGGTCAGAGTCTCAAAACTCCAGCCCGTCGCGTTAGCCACTAGACCAGCTAGCCACAATAAGATTCGTCCAACTAGGTATATTTCTACACCATAGGAAGGTTAGCACAGGCACCACTGTGACCACAAATGCAAGTTTTTACAGACGAATCTCCAGCTAGCGTGGCCGTGACGAACTCTAGCTCAAGTCCCTTCACTGCCGTCAACATTACAATTTCGTGAGTCATATCGTAGGTTAAAAGTATATCCGTAAAGTAAAGGTATATATCTCCTAGGTTATAAGCATATCTCCCCGAGCATAAAGCTATATAACCTGAAGGGAAAAGCTATAAAGTCCTTCCGGAATTATATATTATTTTTATTGTGAAGTTTAATATCAGCAATAAAACCGTGATAGCAAGAGGTGGGTCATCCTCCTCACTCTTGTGAACCAGCCTCAGTTACATCGTATTTTTACTGCAATTTTACATTCAATGTTACTCAATAAAACCTTGGTAGAGTAGAGAACAGTAAGGCACAATACCTTGACTGGAACAATGTTACGGTCCGACTTAGACCATTTACAAAGTCGTCGTAAGCCTCTCTCTCTCTCTCTCTCTCTCTCTCTCTCTCTCTCTCTCTCTCTCTCTCTTATGCAGTGGCGGACCTGCATTTTTGGGGCCCTGAAGCTTGAACTGTTATGGGAGGTCACCTTCGCATACTGAGACAGCTAGGCCTACATGATGCTTTAATAACTTTTTTTTATTTTTGTTTTAACTGTTATCTTGAATTACACTGTATTGTTATTTTTTTAAAACCCTTCTCATACAGTAGACCCAATTTTTTAAACAATATGGACTGAAGTCCAGGATTAAGGGCCCCTGAAGCTTAAGCTTTATTAAGACGAGCGGAGGAGGGAGGGGTATACCTGGAGAGGGAGGAAGTGGGAGTATACCTACAGAGGGAGGAAGTGGGGGTGTACCTACAGAGGTAGGAAGTGGGGGTGTACCTGGAGAGGGTGGAGGGAGGGGTATACCTGGAGAGAGTAGTTATACCTCAGGTTAATATATATCCCCCACTATCTACAATAGACAGGTAGATTGTCTGTCTCAACTCGTCCTGTTGCTAATTGCTGTTTACGGAAACCATTCGTATGTTCTATATTTTTTTTCACCTTTATGCTGTTGAAGGGCTCTAGATCAAAGGAATATGAGCTGTATTAAACCTGTATCAACCCTGATCATTTGCCAGCCATCTACGCTTTTAGCGACTCCGCACTAAAAGATTAACAGCATAAAAATATATTTCAGTAGTTATTAATTAATTTTAGTACAGTTGGTCAGGTACCTACTAAAGGTTATATCATTATTACAGGTGTGGTCGGGTCTCAGGTGAAGTTCGATGAGCGTGGAGATGGACCAGCCAGGTATACCATCTACAACTTCCGCAAGATACCCGGCACTAGTAGCTACAACTACAGTGTAAGTATGTGTGTGTGTTCACGCATTCCTGGCTTCGGGGAGCTATCGTACCTAGTCTTAAAGCCGTGGTGAATGCACTCTGTATTCATCATGCACTATACGTGCCACATTTCGAATAAGTATGAAGAGCCATACATAATAGAAGGAACTTGATAAAGCTCTGTGTAGAGCTTTATAAAGTAATTTCATTTTTTGTTGAGCTTCATTAAGTAATGTTTTGCTCTGTATAGAGCTAAATTCATCAAATAATGCTTCACGTTATGTAGAGCTTTATTAGGTTTTGTTGTGTAGGGCTTTATCATGTTTCACTGTGTAGACTGTAGAGCTTCGAGTCATGATTGACTGTGTACAGTTTTATAAATTCATGTTTCACTCTAGGTAGAGCTTTACCAACTCACGTTCAGGTCATGTTACGCCCTTTGTATAACTTTATTAAGTCAAGAAGACATTAACCGGTAATATGTATACGCACTGACTCGCAAAATCGTATTATGAAGGTTATAAACAACTCAGCAAGCGACCTAGATTCTACCAGTGGCAGTCTTAACAGTTAACGAGCCACTGTTCTCCCAGCTGCCATGCCAAGGGCAGAATACTTTCCACTCCCTGAGTTGCTTCCAATCTTATTACGATATCACGACTTGCTGATAGCGGCTTGAAGGGGCTTTCAGCTGGATGTAGCCTCAGCAGTATTGTTGAGATGCGTCCATAAAATCATTTGGTTATAATGTTACGAATACCTTTTATTATTTTAATATCATGAATTAAATGGTTTGTTTACAAGAGCATACTGATAATATCAACAGGTTGTTGGAAAATCATATAAAATGCGCACACACATTCACACATTTGTGGTTAACGTGTGGCCTATGGTAACCTGGTTGCGTAGAGAAGCATTCTTGGTTGACCCAGTGGCTAGAGCCGTGGTGAGGGCACATACAATCTTGGACACTGCTTGATGTATATATACATTTTCCTGGAGGTAAAGTCGAAGTAATCGAGGCGAGATTTCTCATGGATGTTGGTTACTTCAACCAGAATCATTGATGTGTGTGAAGATAAGAAATCATTGGTCATGGCGTGAGCAGAAGATCAATGCAACAGCTCTACTAGTAAACTCTTCGTTTGGAATGTCACGTAATAACAAGTCTTTAGTTTTACACGTAATGTAATGTAATGTGTGCTAGAGTTTTGGCTAAGGTAAAAGCTCCTCGGTATTGTTTAGTGGCGCTCTGAGTGTCAATGATCACTGCTAAAACTCACCTGGTCTTATTCACTTCCTTGGCTATAAGTTTAGCTCCTTACCATGCTATAAGGCGTGGCTCTCCCGCTGGAGAAAATGTTTGTGTTGCTGTGGTATTTTTCTACTGTTTAAGCTGTGTGAGATTCTTTATTTTTTTATTACTTACATTATAGGGTATTGAGCACAATATTGTATTTCGTTACTCCCACACTTCTCGTAATATTTCTGTTTTTGAAGCGATGACTACAGCCATGATGTCACTTCCACCTTACACACACACACACACACACACACACAAATACACACTACACACATCACACACACAACACACCACACACACACACACACACACACACACACACACACACACACACACACACACACACAACAAGGCTAGTCCCAGAGCTCAGGGGAATGTACGAGGAAAGGTTGAGGGAAATCGGACTGACGACACTGGAGGACAGAAGGGTCAGGGGAGACATGATAACGACATACAAGATACTGCGGGGAATAGACAAGGTGGACAGAGATAGGATGTTCCAGAGAGGGGACACAAAACAAGGGGTCACAACTGGAAGCTGAAGACTCAGACGAGTCACAGGGACGTTAGGAAGTATTTCTTCAGAGTCGTCAGGAAGTGGAATAGCCTAGCAAGTGAAGTAGTGGAGGCAGGAACCATACATAGTTTTAAGAAGAGGTATGACAAAGCTCAGGAAGCAGAGAGAGAGGATATAGTAGCGATCAGTGAAGAGGCGGGGGCCAGGAGCTGAGTCTCGACCCCTGCAACCACAATTAGGCGAGTACAATTAGGCTAGTACACACAAACAGGCAAGTGTCGTATATCATCTTCGTATCATCTACTTTCCATTTTTTCTGGTCTTTACATCAGTAAATCAAAAATTTACCCTCAGCGTATTACCCTAAATTTTTTAAAGAATTTTTAAAAAACATTCACTTTTTTTTATCATTTTTCCCGCCGTGTTCACGTATGTTGCGCTTCAGTGACCCGGTGGGGCATGAAGGCGACTTATGACGTCACTCCTAGCCCAGCCTCCGCACAAATTCACTAAATAAATTTTATATATATATATATATATATATATATATATATATATATATATATTATATATATAATATATATATATATATATAATAATATATATAATATATAAATAAATATATATAAAATATATATAAATATATATAATATATAAATATATTATATATATATATATATTATATTTATATAATTATATTATATATTATATATTATTTATACATTATATATATATATTTATAATATATATATATATATATATTTATACATTATATATATATTTATATATAGTGTATATGAAACAGAGCACACAGAGGTCAGGAGACAATCAACACTAACACCGTGGGTCATAACTCACTCTCGGTAATCCATTCCACAGTTTTATTTTAGGAACCGCCACTACCCTCCAACATTGACCGGTGTAGTGAACCGTGGTCCAGGTATTATAGACCAGCGCACAGGTAACATCAACCGGGGCCACAAACATCATGCACACTGTCATGGACCGGGGATGAAGTATCATGCACCAACACCCACCCCTTCCCAACACATACTCCCCAGTACAAACACACACACACCCCAACACACTTTCACCAATACACACTCCTTAATACACCCTCCCCCCAGCACATACTCTTCCCAACACACCTTTACCTGGAGTATACCTGGAGGGGTTTTCCGGGTCAACGCCCCCTTGGCTTGGTCCGTGACCAGGCCTTGCTGTGGATCAGGGCCTGATCAACCAAGCTGTTACTACTGGCCGCACGTGAACCGGCGTAAGAGCTACAGCCCGGCTGGTCAGGTACTGACTTTAGGTGTCCTTCCAGTGCCTTAAAGACAGCCAGGGGTCTATTAGTAATCCCCCTTATGTATGCTGGGAGGCAGTTGAACAGTCTTGGGCCCCTGACACTTATTGTGTTGTCCCTTAGCGTACTCGTGGCGCCCGTAGTTTTCATTGGGGGTATGTTGCATCTCCTTTTACTTTCGTAGGGTGTGATTTTCGTGTGCAGATTTGGGTCTAGTCTCTCAAGGATTTTCCAGCTGTATATTATATGTATTGTTCACGCCTGCGTTCCAGGGAATGCGAATCAAGGGAATTCAACGCTTCTCAGTAATTGAGGTGTTTTATCCAGGTTTGCAATTTCGCTTGCCTTGAAAGGACCCACGCACCCTCCCCAACACGCACCCTCCCCAACACACCCTCAACAACGCACTTTCATTCCCCCTCCATAAATTACCATCAATCTCTACTGACTCACTCTCCAAATTGGTTCAAAATATCCAATTTCCCGGGAAGTTTCGACTTTTCTTGCCAGTTGTGTGGAGAAATTGTCTGAAAGCGACCAATTACTGGGAATAAATAGGAAAATTAGCGGTTCTGGTGTATTGGGACACTGAACAAGGCTATTTGCCCGGGGCGATACTTAAATTTCCTTTTAATTAAGATTACCGAGTTTGGATGTGTTTGTGTGCGCTAATCTAACCCGCCTAATTGTGGTTGTAGGGGTAGTCATAGCTCCTGGCCCCGCCTCTTCTCTGGTTGCTACTAGGTCCACTCTTTCCCTGCTCCATGAGCTTTATCGTATCTCTTCTTAAAGCTATGTATGCATCCTGCCTCCACTAAATCACTCTCCAGATTGTTCCACTTCGTAACAGATCTGTGACTGAAGAAATACTTCCTAACATCTCTGGGACTCTTCTGAATCTTCAACTTCCAGTTGTAACCCCTTGTTGCTCTGTCCAGTCTCTCAAACTTACTGCCCTTATCTACCTTGTCAGTTCCTCTCCGTATTTTATATGTCGTTATCATGTCCTCCTATCCCTCCTGTCCTCCAGCGTCGCCAGGTCTATTTACCTTAACCTTTCCTCGAAGGACATGCCCCTTAGCTCTGGGACTAGGCTTGCACTTTCTCTAATTTCTTGACGTGCTTGACTAGATGTAGGTTCCATACTGGTGCTGCATACTCCAGTATGAGCCTGACATACACGGTGTAGTCTTTTGAAGGATTCCTTACTAAGGTGTCGGAACGCTATTCTTAGGTTTGCCAGTCGCCCATATACTGCAGTAGTTATCTAGTGTGCTTCCGGAGATATGCTCGGTAGTCTGTTCACCCCAGGATCCTTTTCTTTGAGCGAGATTTGCAGCCTTTGGCCCCCTAGCCTGTACTCTGTCTGCAGTCTTCTCTGATCTTCCTCAGTCTTCATGACTTTGCACTTGGTGGGGTTAAACTCCTGGAGCCAGTTGTTGGACCGACTTGCAGCCTGTCCAGGTCCCTTTGTATTCCTGCCTGATCCTCACCCACTTGTATTCTCATTAGTTTCACAACAGCGAACAGGAACGCCTCTGAATCTATCCCTTCCGTCATGTCATTCACATATACCGGAAACAGCACAGGCCCTAGGACTGACCCTTTAGGATCTCATCTCGTCACAGGCGCCCACTTTGACACCTCGTCACGTACCATGACTGGCTGTTTCCTCCCTGTCAGATATTCTCTGATCTATTGTAGTGCCTTGCCAGTTATTCCTGTCTGCTCTTGTAGCTTCTGAATTAATCTCTTTTGCGGAACTGTGTCGAAAGTCTTATTACAGTCCAAGAAAATGAAGTTACCTTAACCCCCAACCCCTTTCTCTCGTTCTCTCTCTCTCCCTTGTCTTCTGTCACCTTGTAAAACTCCAGTAGGTTTGTGACAGGATTTCCTCTCGTGTGTGTGTGTGTGTGTGTGTGTGTGTGTGTGTTTACACGCATCCACTTGTGGATACAGGGGTCGAGTTTCAGCTCCGGGCCCCGCCTCTTGCCTCTTCCCCTCGTGGGCCTTGTCATTCGTCCTTTTAAAACTGTGCATAGATCCTGCCTCTACTGCTTCGTTGTGCAGTTCATTCCGCTTCCTGCCTATTCTGAGGCTGAAGAAATGCTTCCTGATATCTCCATGCCTCATATGCGTAATTAACTTGCATCAGTTCCCTCCTATACCCGTTTCTCGCCTCGCAAACAGTTTATGCTTGTCCTCTCAATTTAAGTCCTCTGAGCATTTTGTATGTCGTTATCTTTGGTTCTTCAGTCATCTAATAGATTAAGGTTCAATTTCTTTAGTCTTATTAATAATTCATTTCATTTCAGGGACTAGTATTGTTGCCTACTTCTACACTTTCTCTAGCTTTGCTGAAAACTTCTAACAATACCGACAAGTTGATGAGTAAGATACACACACACACACACACACACACACACACACACACACACACACACACACACACACACACACACACACACATATACATATATATATATATATATATACACGCACGCCCTCATGCATGCATCTAAATTTTGTTTTAATATACCCTTCCATCTGAGCGTGTATTCTTCCCGGCAGGTGGTCGGCAGCTGGTACAGCAGGCTGGACCTCAACTTGAGTGAGGTGTCATGGTCTGACAACAATTATACCCTACCCACCTCAGTCTGCTCCCGGCCATGCAAAGTGGGAGAGATCAAGATCATGCAGCAGGTTAGTTGCAGCTCAGTTATATTTGGTCTGGCACTCTCCTGGCCTGAGACCGGGATGCTGGGGCGATCATTACTGAATCCATCGATAGATAATGCACATATTCTCAAATTACCCACACCAACGAGAGGAAACTTTAGATGACGGCAGATTCTTTATGATTCAAATCATATTTGAGTATGATAATGGGGAAAGAGCAGAGGTCAGGTCGGAGAGAGGGAGAGGAAAGAAAGACAATTAGCAGACAGTAATAAGTAAATTGGAAAATAAATTGCGTCCCAAGGGGAAGGAGCAGCTATGGAAGACCATCCTCTAATCAGACGGTAAGTGTCTGTTGGTCTAGTACACAGGGAGAGTTACAATCATGCAAGAGATTTAGTGTAGTCTCATCCTGATTTGCTATGGGACAGTGTCGCTAGTGCGATGCTTTCTAGGTTAGACTGAGATTACTAGGATCTTATGACAAGTGATATTATTCTCATGGAACTGGTAGAATTTTCATAACTGTTCAATAGATTTCTTATATGCCTGTGACATATTTGCTTGTATTCTTCCTCATTAAGATATAAGGTAAACCAAGGTAGGTAACGCAGGTTCAATACACAGAGGGGTGTGAATCTTTGTGTATATTCAGTGAGAGTTTAGTTCTATCCTGTTTTAGAGATTAAAGTATTCATGACTAGTGATGAACAGGTTACGTCATGCAACTTTAAAGACCCTCGTGTAATCTGTGGGTTTTGAAAACAATCAAAAAACAGTACAGCGTTTAAACCCTTGTTAATATAATCGAAAGTCAAGATGGAGACAGAAATGAAAAACATTAGAAAGATTTTATATTTGGCTTCCGATACATACAATAATTTCTGAATAAATTGTTTAGAAAAATAACAAGTTCATAAATGAGACACTTGTGCAAGATTTGTATATTTATATTCTGGAAGCGTTACACCAGCCACTGGTTTCTTCAGTCCTGTGCAGAGAAACGGTGTTAGATGAGGAGTTTGAGGTAATCAGTCCCTCAGCCTGGAGTCGATGTGTTCAGTACATCAGTCTTAATCGAGACTGATGGGCTGAATACATAGACTCCAGGCTAAGGGACTGATTACCTTAAACTCCTCATCTAACAGTTTCTCTGCATTGGACTGAAGAAGCCACTGGCTGACGTAATGCTTCCAGAATAAAGATATCCATATGTTGCAGAATTCTCATTTATCAACGTACAATAATGGTTGGAGAACGCGGCTTCGTAAGGAAAACGATGCAACTCACTGTGGAAGGAGTTGTCAACACGATTGGAAAGAAAACAGAGGCAGCATTTTATCTAGCGACATGTAAGTCGTGGACTGAAGTGTTGAGTCACGTCTAAAATGTAGGATTGGGGAGCGAACACAGAGATGACATGGGGATTACACCGCACTGGGAGCCCTGGGAGAATTTAGTGAATTTCTTACTGTTTGTTGTGTATATATTGTTTAACGTTCTGGAACACTGTAAGTTCTCCTGAGACTTCCTCAGTGATCTCTTGTATTCACTTCTTTTAGTGTAACTTCTCACCATGGGAAAGTCTTTGCAAAGGATATCATAAACTCCAGGTGTGTTGAACGTGAGAGTTTCTTAGTTCAGTGGACATTCCATCAGTTATCTTGTGGAGGGTAATAAAAGATATCTTTGCGTTTGATGCATATATGAAACCATGAGACTTTTCTTTGGTTTCTTTTACGTTGTGGTTTTCACTTGTTTTAGCAGATCTCAGTCGCATTTATCAATCTGAGCAGCCCAGATTTCAGAATTATTTGCTAATGGTGTTTTGTTTCTGATAAGTGTTCCGGGCTGCAAATCCTAGTGTTCGTAGGAAGAGTCTTGAAATAATGCTTGTATTTAAGGTCTTTCAGGGATCTTGACGGAAGTTAGTAGATAGCTCTCAAAGTATTCCAATTAAAGATTATCTAGAACAGGAAAGAGAGAGAGAGAGAGAGAGAGAGAGAGAGGGTGGGAGAGAGAAAAGGAGAGAAACGAACTAACTGACCATATAATACGGTATAACCATTCTTCCGTGTGTGGGAGTCTTCCTGGGAAGAACATATTTTTAGTACATTTCCAAAGCTTGGTCAGAGTGAGCATTTTTGGTCACTATCAATGCAAAGCGCTGCAAACCCACGTGGGTCCTGCAGCGCAAAACGTATAGGAGGCTGGAACCTCTTGAGCACGAGATAGACGCGCTTCCTGTTTGTACTCTCGTGGTGTCGAGATAATTTGCCTCGTAAGAAATTCAACACAAGAACCTTAGAGAAAATGGAATCCACGTCCTGAGTTAGCATACTGAAACACAGGAAATTAAAACACCGGAAATTAAAACTCCTGAAATGAAAATACCAGAAATTAAAATACCGGAAATTAAAACACTAGAAATTAAATCACTGGAAATTAAAACCCTGGAATAATATAAAATCTTTATTTACTACAAGTACATGTACAAGGTATACAGACAATTGCTGACATCAGTGATATACTACTCTATAGAAAGCCCCCTGTTATGCTGAGCATTCCTGGCAAATTAGGTCAGTGTTCAAGGATGCGACCCACACAAGTCGACTAACACCCAGGTACCCATTTTACTAATGGGGAACATAGACAACAGGTGTAAACAAGACACTACTGTTGTAAATGTTTTCCTTGGAAGCGTGCTTGGAGTGTCTGCTTCAATGACTTTCTTCAACACATACCAGGATCCCATACATATGAAGACTACTGACATTTCCAAATCCAAGAGAGGAAATGCCAGCTACTCTAAGTTAAATCAATCGCCAGTTTGCAGCTATATCAGCCTGAGGAAACCGATGGCAGCTTAAATTTACTTTTAAGAAAACACAAGATAATTATCTCTAGGCACTGTGACGGTAATTCTGGAGAATTGATAAGAATGAGTGATAGTATTTGGCAATAAGGTTGATATCCTTGGTGTGAAATTTGATTCAAAAGTAACTTTAGAGAACAATAAATTTTTCAGATATGCGTTTCGCCCTTGAGACTATAGTCAGTAAATCATTCGGGGTGATGTCCTAGGTATGTACACTTTCACCCACACTATATTTTCTTGACTTTGACGAGGTCCTGATAGACGATTTTTAACACTAGACAGTCACCCTTAATCTCTGAAGTAAGAATTTCCTTGATAATTTAGTAACCTACATCAGTACACTTGCGCTCCTTCATTCATACTTTGAGTATTGACCTATATCAATACAGTTTGAATTTCAGTGTTCTTTGAACATTTTATTTTTTCAGGACAGTCAAGAATGTCCCTGAAGCGTTGCAAAGATTAGTCTTTAAGCTTTATTATGTGGCAAAAGATGACTGTACTCTTCTTGCCTTGGACAAGCTTAGATGTGAGGTACTCGCTAGTGTATGAGACAGTCAGCCAGAGGATCCTTCATTTATCACGGGTAGCTCCGTCATGTATCACTGGCAGCACCTTTATGTATCACTGGTAACACCGTCATGTATCATTAGTTTCACCTTTGATTTGCAGTTGAAGAAACGAAAGTTGATTCTCTGGCAAGCAGAAACATTGTTTTCTTTCACCTGCTGCCTGTGTTCACCTAGCAGCAAACGGGTACCTGGGTGCTAGCCTATTGCTGTAGGTCGCACCTTGAAGGGGCGACCTTAGATAAGCCTAACCCTTGAAATGAGGTAAGATATGAACAACAAGGAAATGTAGATTGTATCAGTGATATGCAAGACGATAAATTAGGTGTGTAACATATGGGTATCTACTCTGTAGAAGTTTCGCCAACCAGTGAATTAGTTGATAAAAACCACAGGATGGTGAAACATGGTCACATCTCTTAACCTATGTATTCAACGTTGTAAAAAAAAAAAAATCTTTCACTGGCGTATCTAGCAGCGATACAATTAATTTTCTCGTCTTACCGAGATCAGTTCAAAACATCAAAATCAGCTTGATGGTCAGTTGATGAGTAAGACACATGTGCAACACCCAGGCATCTTTATAGACGAAACTTTTCGCCTGCCAAGCAAGCTTCATCGGTCGAATGCAGAGATTACACTGGTGAAGATAGCCAGGAGCGACCCTGAGTGCTCACTAAGATACTTGTATACAAAAAAAGAATCAGCTTTATCCATGCCATCACAAGCACTGGCTTGGGATGTTGTTTTAAATTTTCACAGATATGCGTTGCACAGCGTTGATGAGGACATAATTGAAACGGTAATTGCAATATGTCTTGTTATAGTTTTACTACGATATTACACGTAAATAAGAAAAATCTCTGCAATAATTTTAATTATTGTCAAGCTGCATATAATACCTCGGAATATTTCCTGCAGTGTTTTGCGCAAGAGTTTCTTGTATGTGATGGAATATTAACTGTGTAATATTCACCAGACTTAAATATTAAAAGTTGGAAAGGCGTTGGCTCAGAGATAATAATAATAATTTTATGTAGTGTTAGTCCGTTTGTAGTTTTGAAAAATCTACCTCCCCCCCCCCTCTTCCCCTCTTCCTCCCCCCTCTTTCCCTCTCTTCAGTCTATTCTTCCTTCTCTTCCCTCCCATCATCCGTTCTTCCCTTCACATACCTCTGAGCACTTGCAGACGAGTTACTGCCTTAAGCCCCACTACAATAGCGTCGAGGTTGGCTTGCTGCTGTAATACTCTTCACTCTTCTCTCCTAAAACAGAATTATTTCTTGAAATAAAATCGGAATTACTATTGGACCTGGAATCGTAAATTTGACAAAGATTGGAATTGGAATTTAAATATTTGTTAAGCTGGAATTTTTAATTTGTAATTCTGAATCTAATAGATTTAGACCGGGAATTGAAATTAGAAATTGAATGGGAATCTGAATTGGGATTTTGATTGGAAATAGATTTACAGTTAGAGCCAGTATTGGAATTTCTCTCCTGTCTCTGTCTCTGTCTCTCTCTCTGTCTCTGTCTCTGTCTCTGTCTCTCTCTCTCTCTGTCTCTGTCTGTCTCTGT